GCGTGAAGTTGGCGCGTGGACGGGTGCGACGCGCAGCAGGTGAGGCACCTAATGGTGAATTCCCGCGCAGCCACAAACGCACCTGCTCCCTCTAAGTGGAGAGCGGGGTGGGGATTTTCGGAGGAAGCTGCTGGGCAGAAGGAGCGAGTTGATTCTGTTCCAATTAATTTCTAATAGCGATTCAATTTCCTTGTAATGAGCCGCTGACGCTGCTGCCATCCTCATTCCGAACTTCTCTGCCCTTTCAGATACGACTGCCTCCGCTTCACGCCTTTACACGCCTATTAAGCCGCCCTCATTTACCGGTTGAAGCGCGGTGCTCGGCGGAACTATTTTTAAACACGCCCTGCGACTCGTGCGTTCTGCTCGTTGGGGGAAATCGGAGCTCTTTTTGGGCTCTTGTATTTCCTCGAGGGTTCATCGTCCGTAACTTTGCCGGAAAGAATGGACATGGTAAAAGAAGCTTCTTTAATCAACGCCGCGCATAAACCTACGTTGCATTACGGTTGAGTGGGAAATTAGAATAGTAAACGCAGTCGTTGGGACCTCGCGGGAGAGAGGGAAAAAGGGGGAATGACTTTTACTATGGGTCAAGTGGTAAGAGGTAATGTGATTGAGTAAGATAACAGGAAGATAGCGGGTGAAAGCGGGCAGGAAAACAAGTAATGAACCACAGGCAAACGGCGCCGTGCAAAGTAAGAAAAAATGTACCAGATCATGTTAGAACTATATAATCCGAGATGTATAGGGATAAATGAGAACCAGCGGAAATGTATAGAGTGTAAATACTGCCACGGTGATGTTGTTGTTGTTGGGCAACAATAAGCGAGCAAGTGCCAACTTCGTACCACTCGCTAGCAGAAAGAAGGAATTCGAGACTCGGCTGTGAACGAAGTAAATGCTAACAAAAACAATTTGGGGAAAATTCGGTACTCATCAATGCACCGAACTTACGAGTACAAGAGGAAAAGAAATCTTGAATTAATAATTATGCAAATAAACCACGTCAGTCTGGAAACCCCGGTGTACACAGAAAACGTAAATAGTATAAGTTGGAGGAATCTAAGCTTTCTAAGTGTGACGTCACAAATATGGCCACCAGCACCAAGGTCTTGAATATAGGTCAAAGAGGAATATATTCTTAATTCCTACATGTATGGGTGGTTTTGGTTGAGTCGATAAGCACCAAATCGGAATAAAGTTAGA